CAATTGCCATAACTAGAAATAAAATAAAGCCGCTTACCTTATGACCTTTTTTCGTTTTTACGGGGTAGCACCTATAGAAGAGAGAAAGAAACGTAAATGAATTGTAATTGAAGATTAAAGACTTTAATACAGCAATTAAAATCAATAAATAAACAAGGCAAACTGTTATTGTAATGAATTTCAAGTGCAGGTTTAGTTCTATGCAATTTATTCTTATGCTGGTCTATGAGGGTACGCTACAATAAAAATAATCAATATATATCGAAGTACACTACACTTTTTTCAAATGTCATTCAAAGCATGCCAATTGCAATTCGACAATTTCATTTTTAATTCGAAAACTGAAATTTGCAATTCATAACGTTCCAGTTGTAAATCGAGAATGTAATTGGTAATTTAAACATTTCATTGGTAATTTTTAAATTTGCATATGAAATTCAAAAACATCCATTTGAAATTACAGAAATATTGACTATTGTATTTTCATAATTATTTCTATATTGAGGCATTTGAATATGTAGTATGCCTCTAAATCGCCTCATTCCCATTATCCATTTATCACGAAGTGAGAGATATGCAAATTTGTTGTCTGTTTTTTTAGTTGTATCTGCAAATGACCGGATTTAATTGAAAACATTTTCTTAATTCACCGCATGTGGGTGTTTGATAGTTGGAAATTAGTAACAAATTGAAATAAATTTATGCTATTTTAATTAGTCATTTTATTAGACTAATTTGTTTAATTGAGAACACTTGTAAAAAGGTTAAATAACTGACTGACACACAATAATTTCTAAATTTCAATATTATGCAAATTAAGCATAAATAAGGTAAATAAAAACAAGGGATATAAATACAAAAACAAAAAAACATAATTGTGTTATCAGAATTTTAAAAATAAACTCCAATACGAGGGCAGTTCGGAGACTTCTTAGTTTATTTGGGTTGTTGAAAAAATATTCTTCAAAAATCCACGCTTATAGTATTACTGATTTTTTTAATCCACCCCTATTATAGGCCTTCAAAAATATTCTTTAAAATATCTACGCCTTTGATGATGGTCCTTAAAAAATATTTTTTATAAAATCCACACCTTATGTTGGTGCTTGAACAAAATGTCGTTTAACCAGTAAGGAAAGTAGTAAACTCGGACTGGGCCGACTATACAATACGCTTCACCACTTTGAGTATATTGTACATATGTATCCTAAAAGACGTCGCCTTTTTTAAGGAACTTTGATATGAAATTCAACGAACTAAAATATTTGATTTTTATCTATATCTAAAACGACTAACATCAATCCCTACACATGTCATTCTGCAACCAATGCTAAATTTTGTAAATCGATTTAAGGGGACCCCCCCCATTCTCGGGGTCAAAAATTTTGTTGATATAATTCGAATCTACACTAATTAAAGAATGTCCCTACAAAATTTCAAATGAAAATCTCAAGAACTCTTGAAGATATAGCCGATTTATTGTGTCAGCATCAAGTGACGGCTGAAGGGCTTCTCAAACTTTAAACGCGTTTTTCTCTAAACATTTTTTTGCGAATGGCGTGCACGATAACTCAAAAACTAATAACCCAATCGATTTCAAATTTTTACATGTTTCTCTGTGAGTGTATAGCTCTCGTATGAACTAGGATAAAGCCAATCGGTGAAGATCTTCCTTATTTTTTAACTTGGGTTTTGGTAAAAAATCGGCGATTTTCCAAAAATATTTTTTCAAAGGTCCACTATTTTGTTAATTTTAGAGCGAAGTCAATAATCCTAGTTCATACGATAGCCAGACATGTACTCTTTCTAACACCGTTGGAATTTTCGGATTCCGATGTTCCAGTGAGGAGTTATCATGCCCGCCATCAAAAATAAGGACTTTTCTTTAATTACAAAAAACAACAACAAAACAACAACAAAAATTTTTTGTAAATTATTTTTCTTCTATTTTAAATCTTCAATTATATATGTGTGAAGTTACAAACCTTAACTAGCATTGGTATTGATTTACCAGCCCATTGAAAATCTTGAAAAATTAAAATCGAGAATGGGGGGGTTCCCTTAAAGCAAACATGACATACTTCGGTATGCTGCACTGTTTAACATTTAATCTCAATCAGACACCCATTAATTATTTGGTATACAATTAACATGAATAAGTCGAAATTATATATGGAAACAATGTTATGTCTATATCTGAACCGATTTCAAGGAAACTTGTCAGAGATTAATTTATATCAACTTCAGTTCGTTGTGCCAATCGGCCTAGCAATGGATCATTAGTGCAACATTTACATAAAATCGGACGAAAATATATATATAGGAGGTGTACACATAATTGTAGACTTAATTCAGTACGTTCATCTATGCCAAATTTCGTGGAAATCAAAAGATATATAGGGACTTTGGTGAACTATTTACATTAAATCGTCCGAACATATATATGGGAGCTATATCTAAATCTGAACCGATTTTCAAGAAATTTTACACACATCATTCTAGACTTAATTCAGTACGCTATACCAAAATTCGTGCAAATCAAAAGATATGCCGAGACTTTGGTGCACAATTTACCTAAAATCGGTCGAAACTATATCTAAATTTGAACCGATTTTCAGGAAACTTAGCACACGTCATTCTAGACTTAATTCAATACGCTATGCCAAAATTTGTGTTAATCGAACGATTTTCAAGGACTTTGGTGCACCATTTACCTAAAATCGGGCGAAATTATATATGGGAGTTATATCTAAATATGAACCTATTTTCACGAAACTTAGCACACATCATTCTAGACTTAATTCAATACACTATGCCAAAATTTGTGTTAATCGAACGATTTTCAGGGACTTTGGTGCACCATTTACCCTAAAATCGGCCGAAACTATATATGGGAGCTATATCTAAATCTGAACCGATTTTCACGAAACTTAGCTCACATAATTCTATACTTAATCCAGTAGGCTATACCAAATTTCGTGCAAATCGAAAGATATATAGGGACTTACCTTAAATCGGACGAAAATATATATGGGAACCGATTTTTTTCCAATTTCAGTAGGGTTCCTCCTTGGGCCAAATACGTCACATATTTGCCAAAATTGCCAAATTACATCCAATTCGGATCATAAATGCGACCTATACTTTTTTCTGAACCGATTTTTCCCAATTTCAATAGGGTTCGTCCGTGGGCCAAATAAGTGAGCTGTGCCAAATTTCATCCAAATCGGATCATAAATGCGACCTGTACTTTGTTTACAATTTAACATCAACAGACGGACGGACGGACATGCATAAATCGACTCAGAAAGTGATTCTATGCATATCCTCAAAAGGAACCATGGGTCTATTTCGATTCCTCTTGCTTGTTGCAAACATATGCACATAGACATAATACCCTGTGCCACAGTGTGGTGAAGGGTATAAAAATTCCTTGTCTTTGAAAAAATCTAGCTCGTGTTTCAGAAGAAATTACTCCTTCGTGATGGTTAGAACTTGTTTATACCCTTCACCACACTGTGGTACAGGGTATTATGTCTTTGTGCATATGTTTGTAACAGGCAAAAGGAATCGAGATAGACCCATGGTTCCTTTTGAGAATATGCATAGAATCACTTTCTGAGTCGATTTATGCATGTCCGTCCGTCCGTCTGTCCGTCCGTCCGTCTGTTGATGTTAAATTGTAAACAAAGTACAGGTCGCATTTATGATCCGATTTGGATGAAATTTGGCACAGCTCACTTATTTGGCCCACGGACGAACCTATTGAAATTGGGAAAAATCGGTTCAGATTTAGATATAGCTCCCATATATATTTTCGTCCGATTTAAGGTAAATGGTGTACCAAAGTCCCTATATATCTTTCGATTTGCACGAAATTTGGTATAGCGTACTGAATTAGGTCTAGAATGATGTATGCCAAGTTTCGTGAAAATCGGTTCAGATTTAGATATAGCTACCATATATAGTATCGCCCGATTTTAGGCAAATGGGGTAAAAAAAGTCCATATATATCTTTCGATTTCACGAAATTTGGTATAGCCTACTGAACTAGGCCTTGAATGATTTTGATATAGCGCCCGTAGGTTCGTCCGTTTTAAGGTAAATGGTGTACCTAGGTCCCTATATATCTTTCGATTTGCACGAAATTTGGTATTGCCTACTGAATTAGATCTAGAATGACGTGTGCTAAGTTTCGTGAAAATCGGTTCATATTTAGATATAGCTTCCATATATAGTTTCGCCCGAGTTTAGGTAAATGGTGCACCAAAGTCTGATTAGCAAGAATATTGGCATAGCGTACTAAATTAAGTCTATAATGATGTGATGGTTTTAAGCAAATTGTACACTAAAGATCCATACAATAGTTTGATTGACTATGGTATGGATCTCTGGCAGGTTTGCTTGAAATCGGTTCAGATATAGATATAACTTAGCTTCCATATATAATTTCGACTTATTTATGTCTGATTGAGATTCAATTTTAAACAGTACAGCGACGTCTTTTCGGATACATATGTAAAATATACCCAAAGTGGTGAAGGGTATCATATAGTCGGCCCAGTCCGACTTTACTACTTTCCTTACTGGTTTTTATTTAGACAACCGAAACTTCTTTGCTAAGTAGGAATAAAATTTAATTACCGAAATTTGCGTCCGCAAAATTTTCAGCATTTGTGTTTACCTGGCCATGAGAGTGTTTAATTACCTTTTGTAACCAAGCTATGACCGTAATTAACTTGGTCATAATTGTAATGACAATTTGATATTTTAAAATTTATTTCCTTGAAAATTAATATGCAAAATATTAAGACCACTAGGTAATGAAAAAGTAAATATCTTTTAAAAATTATGTGTATTTTTCTTTGGCAAAACATTTGTATACAAAAACAGAAAATAATAAGACTTAACTACATAATATTCGTACTTAAAAATATATTTAAAAAAACAATTTGGTTGTGTTTTCCACTGGAAAATTAAAACAAATGGAAATTATTGTCTTAATCCATTTTACTTCCGCTTGGCTTGGTTAGCAAGGGCTTGTCAACCTCATCGATGCGCATTGTTTGCATGTGGGTTGGATCTATGGCAGCATTGAAAGTATTTTCACGTTGTTCATCAGGGAATTCACTCGACAAATGGCTTATAACTTTATTGAATAAAAATTCGGAGAGGTTTTTACGCAAAAAGAACAAAAACATCCAATTTGAGAAGTTGCATTTGCGTACAACCAATGAAATTTCCTTATCGTCCAGGCGGCCAGGTTTGGCCCAATACAAGCAATAACGGGTGAATTTGGTGCTGCAATTAAAGAAAATTTTATATTAAACAAATTGAATTAAACATGAACATTATTTCCTCCCCTTACCTCTTATAAAAGAACAAAGTGAAAATCCGCCAAATCAGTCCCGAAACGGTGGCAGCAAAAATGAAAAGATACCAAAACCATAGAATCGTGTAAATCTTCTCATTGATGATGTTCAAAGCCATTACGCAGAGAGTATCGTGCATTTGTAGCGAACCACTAGCACCATATTTATGGAAATGACACTTGGTCACTTTGGGGAAAACAACATCCAGCGCATCCATGTCATTGTTCCAACGTTCATGCCATACTTTGGGACCCAATGATAGGAAGGCACCACCCAAGAATTTATCAGTCCAATAGATTTGTAAAATCAAATTCAGCAAGTTGAGAATTTCAGCAAATACCAAATGAGCACCCCATGATTGATTCAGCCGCATACGATCAATCATCGTCCGACGTATATCTTTGACACGCATTTCCGTTTCCTCTTCCGATGGAATATTCAATTTACCAATTTGCAGACTTTTATTCTTCAAATATTTGGAGAGGCCAACCATGCGTAAACCGAAGACGAGGGCCTTAATGCGACCACCTGAAAAGTAGAAAAGAATAAAATAACGTAAAATATAAAATAAACGATGATTCAGATTATGTGATGTAATGTCGGGTACGTCAATAATTAAATATTTTGGGAAATTGGCGAATAAAAATCTAGTAGTCAAATAAAGTTCTCAACTACCAGGTAATATATTATAAATGGGTTTATATTCAGATATGTTAATATTGAATATTTAGACATTTAAATATGCAAATAATTTGAATATGTCGTATTTTAATGTCTAGTACTTCTAGGCTGACTAGGAAATTTAGATTAAAAAGGCCGATGCCTTTATATGGCGATCATGTCATTGTAAATTGTCTGCTGGGAGGTTGCTGATGGTCTGAGAAAATTAAATACTACTAAATTAAGTTAACAATCGAATTGAAACCCAGTGATTTGAGCGGTATAGTCGGACGGGGCCGACCCTATAATACCATACACAACTACCACTGAGCTCTAAGTTTCTGCGGATCTATATTCCATGCATGGGTAATCTTTCGCAATATTTGCGCTCTCATGACCGATTAAAGTTAACAACTCCTTCGTGACATTATTTTCCGAATCGCGTCTTTCCAGATTCAAATTTTGTTATTTTAAACAAAAAAAAAAGGTTTGGTTCAATTGACGCGCTAAATATTGACCGTTCATTCCAGAGCGACTAGAAAACTTGACAAAAATTAAGTTTTGTTCATTTCATTCTCAAAATATCATCTGATCATTGTCGAAAATTATAGTTCTTGACGATAACCGAACTTCGTATAAAAAACGATCAGCACATCATTTACACCCTCTAGTGCGGTAATAATAATACTAAAGAATATCAGAATACATAGACCAGCGTTCGCCAAACAGTCGCCCGTGGGCGCTTTTGGAGAGTACCAATAAAATCTTAGTTCTGTGTTCGAACTCAACATTATTCTCGACATCGAAAATGTTGCATTCTTTGCAATGCTTTAACATCTACGATTTGTACCGAGAGAACGAAAATTACTCCCACAACGTGTGTCCAACACAATCATAGCATAGTCCAACCTGTAAATACAGTCGAAATCGTTCCTAACGACCTATCGGTTAAAGCGGCGAAATCCAAAAGTCCAAAATTGTGACCCACACCACTGAATATCGCTTGTGTGGCATCGCTGATAAGCAAACATCGTTTGTACAACCTGTTTTTGCAAGTCCTTCAGATGCCATAGAATGCACATTTTCCGTTTATCACACAATAGTCCGCGTCCATTTGACGCCATAAATATTGACCTAATATCGTGAAAAGCCATGCTTGTTCCTTGGCCAAATTCCTTTCTTCGTCTATAATTTGATAATTGTGACCTCTAGAGCGACCAGAAAAACAGACAATCATAAACCCATCATTACCAAAACAATAGGGGTATAAATAGGGAAAATCAGTGGGTTTACGTGATCATGTTCATAAAAATGCCACTTGACTCTGAACGCCGTACTCTAACCGTGTGAAAGCCCATTAGCAAGATTTCAGAGAATTGGCAAAACCAATCGATCCAACAGGAAGTCTCATAGTATATAATTAAAATCAAACATTCCAGAGAGGCTTCATGAGTCCTACAAACACCAGCATTTTAAATTTAAGTCGACACATTTCCCCATATTTGTCGACTATATAAAGCAGCATTCGACAGTCCTATACGTTCAGAGGTGTTTAAAGCCATGTCTGCGTTTGGCATTCCTGCAGAATTAATACGGCTATGCAGGATAACTTTAACTGACATAAGGTTAGCAGGTCGGAAAGTCGGAAAGGACCTCTCTCAGCCCTTTATAATGAACGAGGATTCAGACAAGGAGGCAGTTTGTCGTAGGCTCTCTTGAACATCCTGCTGGAAAAGGTCATATAAGAGGCAAAGGTGCACAGAAATGGTAATGGGTCGAACATTGCGAGCGCCAACAGCCACCTTTGAACAAATTGAGAAGCAGTCTGCCAAAGTGGTTCTGACATCAGTTTTGAAATTCGGAAAAGGATAGTGTTGGCCAACTACCCGTGTGGCATGGGTACATGTGCCATTTTCTTCGATCCACAGGCCGACCTGCGTCGACGGTGAATATCGGTGTCGAATGAACCACGAGCCAATCTATACGCGGACATCGACATAGTCAGTCGTATCAAGCTGTAGCGACTACGGTGGCTAGGCCATGTTGTGCGAATGAGTGAGAATGCCCCCAGCTGAAAAGACATATAAAAGCGAGCATACTGATGGTTCACGCCGAAGGGTAAGGCCACGAATTAGATGGAAAGACGAAGTAGAAGACAACATCTCGGAACATGGTGTTTCAAATTGGAGGAGATGGGCACAAGACCGACGCGCTTGGAAATCTTTTTTAAGCTCGACTTATGGAACAACCGTTTTGTAACAAGCATATAATAATTAATCCTATATCAAGGCCGAAGATTTATAATATTTATATTTAGCGAATGGATTTGACCCAAAATCTACAAATCACATTATTTTTATCAACTCTAAATCTAGTTGAAGATGGGACCTATCGGTGCACTCATTCTGGTACCTGCACCCAAATGGTGATAAAGAAACATATACCTAAAATGGTCAACATTTTTAAAGTTTGCCAAATCTAATATCAAGCGAATGTTCGATTTGATACAAATCTGTATAATCTTTCTGGCACCTCCTTCATAAAATTTTCCAAATGATACTGAAATTAATTGTATAATACCATGCGATAACTAATTAATTAATAACTTGCAAATATTGCCAATTAAATTGGGTGCATTATCGGCTACATAGCTCCATCATATCTGATACCTCTCCCACAAATTGTCACAATTATGAAAAATTTTAAATAAAAATAAAAAAAAAATTAAAAAAAAAATACTGCACCTCGATAGTAATCCCGCCTATCTCTGTAAACCATACGTGACGGTATACATCTAACGGCAACCCCGAATGATAGTTCTGTACTCGTTTTTTATACCCTCCATCATAATATGGAAGGTATATTAGTTTAGGTTTTCCGTTTGTATCGCATCGAAATAATCATTTCCCACCCTATAAAGTATATATATTATAAATATCGGTCCACTTTTTCTGGTAGCCCCCATATAACGGTACCCTCCAATGTTCAGTATTTTAGGGATTTTGATCGCATTTTTCGTCCGAATTGGCTGTAAGTTCTTATTGGGTAGTAAATCTCTCCACTAAAAATTGCAAATATAGGTCTTTTTTTCTGGTAGCCCCTATATAAGGGCACTCCCAATTTTCGGTATTTTTGGGGTTCTTGAGCACGTTTTCCAACCCAATTCGCTGAAATATGGTACATTGGCTTCTTATTTGGTACCAAATATCTCCACTAAAAATTATAAATAGCGGTCCATTTTTGTGGTAGCCCCCATATAATGGTACCCCCCATGTTTCAGTATTTTGGGGATTTTGATCGAATTTGTTGACCGAATTGTCTGTAATTTAGTATTTTGAGTTCTTATTGGGTAGCAAATCTCTCTACTAAAAATAATAATAATAATATAAATATAGGTCAATTTTTGCTGGTAGACCCCATATAAGCGTACCCCCAATTTTCGGTATTTTGAGGTCTTTGAGCGCGTTTTTCAACCGAATTCGTAATATGGCATTTTGTAGCTTTATATGGTAACAAATCTCCCTTTTTGGCGTAGTCTCATATAGCCCCCTTTTTTATATTAAAATAGCTAGTTTGCTCCGTGTGTTGGGTTAGTCGATACTCGGAAGAGTCAGTTTTTACCCTACAAAGTTCCGTCTTCTTCAGATATAGTGATAAAAACTCGAACCTGACGATAATGAAATATATTGGCAGGCATATAGGCATCTCCTACATATAATGATACCTCCTGAAGGAAAGAATTGAGATACAAAACTAAAAGATTGGGTTCGAATTTTACATATATCGGTCATAAATAAGGCATAGCCCTCATATAAAGTAACTCCAAATATTCGGTAATTTCTACACTATGTTATTAATATTGGTCCCCCGTTAGGCATAGCATAGCCCTCATATAAAGTAACTCCAAATATTCGGTAATTTCTACACTATGTTATTAATATTGGTCCCCCTTTGCGCTCTAAATTTGCGCTCTAAATTGCAGTAATTTGAGCATTTTTACTCTACCATGTGTTATTAGTATTATTCCACTCTTTGGGTTTCTCAGATTTTAAGAAAAATCCTCATTAAAATTTGCTGAAATTTGTATTTGGTGTACATAATAAAATCGGTACATAAATGGGTTTGAAGAATTATCGGTATAGGTCCACTTTTTGGTATCTTCCCTATATTTTCATTTCAAGTATCTGTCAGTTTATCTACGGTGAAGGATATCCACCGAGCCGAACTTAACGCTTTGTTCACTTGTTTTTTTTTACACAATGTATGTATTGACATAGCCTACATATATGGGTAGAGCCGCATTTTCTCATTGGAGTGTCTGTAAAACTACCTCCGCTAAGATTTAAGTCCAGTGTTAGTTGTGTATGTATAAAACCATATGATTATTGTACCATTATTATTATTTAATGGTAACATAGATGTAAATAGTCCGATAATTCAATTGAACTAAGTGCTTATTGATGTATGATATAGCCGTGTATGTGTAGTTGTGTAGGATACAAAAATAAAAGTGTTTAGATTTATTTTAAGTGACTTACCTTCCCATGATTTCCATAACGCATGAGGAATATAAAAGAACAACGCTTGCCCGAAGAGTACAAATGGTACCCATTGGTAGTAGGCATGACGCTTTATAGGTTCCTCCTGCGTTTCATAGGGTCCAATACCCGGCTGGAATATGGCACCAGATTCTAATGCACTATTATTTAAATGGCGGACCTAGAATAATATTTTTAACTTTTTACTATTTCAAATATTCTTATTGGCTTGATAAAATTGTACTTACCAAAGTAAATGTTGGCGTGAAGAAACAATAAGTATTGACAACATGTGCGGGTATGGTATCCGATATACACTTGATGTGTTCACCAATATATTGACGTGAGCACACCAATATTGTGGCCACAATCAATATAACGAAGGTCCAACGATAATGTAATTTGAAGACAAAATTGTCAATAGTTACCCGTTTCGGGTTGAATTTCAAAAACGGTGTCACTGAACTAAAGGTACTTAACATTTTGGACTGGATTTATTTTTTTTTTAATTTTTCTTATGACAAAATCACTTGCACAATAATTATAATTTTCTAAAATTTCACAAACTAATTGAAAATAGAACTTTCTAAATGTTTTGATGTCACAATAATTTTAGATTAATTTTTTTTATTCGAATTCGAAAATAAAAAAAATAATTGTCGTTCTTTTTTTCAGTCTTTGCAAATATACGTCGATATATCGCGTTCAAATTACTCCGCTATCCTCATAACGTTCGTAATTCATTTCGTCAACTGAACTTATTCTCCAATATCCCATATCAGTCCATAGCTGTCGCACGTCCCTCAGAAGTTCTGAGCAAAAACTAGAACGCTGTGTTTTCTTTCGGTATTTCGTTTCAACACTTCGTCAGTACTTTTTCTCTGATAAAAACAAAATATGGATTGAAAAAAAATACACGGACATGCCTACACAGCACTTCGTTTGTATTTCTTCACAAAGTTTTGAGTTAAAATTTTCGGATTTTACTATTATTGTGAAGTGAACTCTTTTTTTCAGTTTCCATCAAAAAATATTTTGATAAGATAACATTGCCTCATAGTGAAATTTGAGTTAAACTAGAAAATTGGATCGTTATGAAAATATTCTCTCTTTTTTTTCACAGACATAGAAATCGAAATGAAGACGTTGGAAATTTATTTAGCATGCTCTACTGTTTTTGGATTGACTTACGGATTTTTATTATTATTTCTGATTGATTTATTTGAACATCTGTGACTGCAGAGGTAAACAATATCGACTTAAAGACAAATTACGAAATAATAAATTTTTTAAGCAGACACACAATAATTCAAACTATATTGCAAAATAAATATATAAATAATAAGACTGGATATAAGACTCTGAAGACTCAAAGGGGATGATAAAATAGGTATGGATATGACCTGTCCTGGATTTTTTTGAAGAATATTTTTTAAAACTCCACTATGAAAGAATATTATTTCAATGCCTAAAAAAAGGCGTGGATTTTTTAAAGAATAGGCCTGAAAAAGGCATGGATTTTTTAAAGAATATTTTTTCAAGGCCTATTATATCCGTAGATTTTTTAAAGATTATTTCCTCAAGACCTATTATTGGCGTGGATTTTTTAAAGAATAGTTTTTCAAGGCCTGAAAAAGGCATGGATTTTTTAAAGAATATTTTTTCAAGGCCTATTATATGCGTAGATTTTTTAGATTATTTCCTCAAGGCCTATTATAGGCGTGGATTTTTTAAAGAATATTTTTTCAAGACCTATTATAGGCGTGGATTTTTTAAGGATTACAAAGGCGGGGGTTATGTTTAAAGAATATTTTTTAAAGGCTACAAAAGGCGAATGAATGATACGATCACTGTCCTTTAAAAAAATAAATCTAAATCTTCATACTAAAAATTGTTGAGGTATTTTTTTCTAGGTTTCTAGCAGCATTTCACACCACTTTGACATATGGAGGCTATTTTTGAATGATCCCCCTGGATATGACCTGTCCTGGATTTTTTGAAGAACATTTTTTAAAACTCCACTATGTAAATGGATTTTTTAAAGAATATTATTTCAAGGCCTAAAAAAGGCATGGATTTTTTAAAGAATATTTTTTCAAAGCCTATTATATGCGTAGATTTTTTAAAGATTATTTCCTCAAGGCCTATTATATGCGTGGATTTTTTAAAGAATATTTTTTCAAGGCCTATTATATGCGTGGATTTTTTAAAGATTATTTCCTTAATGCCTATTATAGGCGAGTATTTTTTAAAGAATATTTTTTCAAGTCCTATTATAGGCGAGTATTTTTTCAAGTCCTATTATAGGCGGGGATTTTTACAAAAGGCTACAAAAGTCGCGGATTTTTTTAACGAATATTCTACTGAACCTCTCAAACAAAACCTAATATACAATTTAATTTATCATTTACATTTTTTATACCCTTCACCACACTGTGGTACAGGGTATTATGTCTTTGTGCATATGTTTGTAACAGGCAAAAGGAATCGAGATAGACCCATGGTTCCTTTTGAGAATATGCATAGAATCACTTTCTGAGTCGATTTACGCATGTCCGTCTATCCGTCCGTCCTTCCGTCCATGTATTTTTGTTAACAAAGTACAGGTCGCATTTATGATCCGATTTGGATGAAATTTGGCACAGTTCACTTATTTGGCCCAAGGACGAACCCTATTGAAATTGGTTGAAAATCGGTTCATATTTGGATATAGCTCCCATATATAGTTTCGTCCGATTGTATGTTAATGATGCACAAAACTTCCAAAATTTGTCCGATTTGGACAAAATTTTGCACTGCGCACTGAATCAGGTCCATGCTGATGTGTGCGGCGGTTTGTTAAAACAGGTTCAGATTTAGATATAGCTCCCACATATAGTTTCGCCCGATTTTTTGGTGAATGATACACCAAACTCCCAATATTTGTCCGATTGGGACAAAATTTTGCACAATTTTCGTCCGATTTTAGGTAAATAGTGCACCAAACTCCCTATATTGGTCCGATTGATAAAAAATTTTGCACAGAGTATTGAATTAGGTCTAGATTGATGTGTGCTATGTTTGGTTGAAATCGGTTCAGATTTAGATATAGCTCCCATATATATAGTCGTCCGTTTTTTTGTGAATGATACACCAAACTCCCGACATTTGTCCGATTGGCACAACATTTTGCAAAGAGTTCTGAACTAGGTCCAGGCTGATGTCTGCGAAGTTTTGTTAAAATCGGTTCACATTTAGATATAGCTCCCATATATAGTTTCGTTCGATTTTTTGTGAATGATACACCAAACTCCCAATATTTGTCCGATTGGCACAACATTTTGCACAGAGCACTGAATCAGGAATATGCTTGTGTGTGCCGAGTTTTGTTAAAATCGGTTCAGATTTAGATATAGCTCCCATATATAGTTTCGTCCGATTTTTTGGTGAATGATACACCAAACTCCCAATATTTGTCCGATTGGGACAAAATTTTGCACAGAGTACTGATTTAGTTCCAGATTGATGTCTGCGAAGTTTTGTTAAAATCGGTTTAGATTTAGATATAGCTTTCATATATTGTTTCGTCCGATTTTAGGTAAATAGTCCACCAAACTCCTAATATTGGTCCGATTGATAACAAATATTGCACAGAGTATTGAATTAGGTCTAGATTGATGTTTGCTATGTTTGGTTGAAATCGGTTCAAATTTAGATATAGCTCCCATATATATATATATATATAGTCGTCCGATTTTATGTGAATGATACACCAAACTCCCAACATTTGTCCGATTGGCACAAGATTTTGCACAGAGTTCTGAACTAGGTCCAGGCTAATGTCTGCGAAGTTTTGTTAAAATCGGTTCAGATTTAGATATAGCCCCCATATATAGTTTCCTCCGATTTTTTATGAATGATACAACAACAAACTCCCAATATTTGTCTGATTGAGTAAATTTTTGCATAGCGAATCCTATTGAGAAAAAAATGATGCGTGATAAGGTTTATTGAAATCGGTTCAGATTTTGACATAGGTCTTATATATATATATATATATATTTTCGTTCGATTTTATGTAAATGTTGGTCACACGAAATTTGGCAGAGGGTATTAAATTGAATATAGTGATTACAAAAAACAAATGGTGTATGCAACGGTTACATACATAATTTGACTCGATTCCGTACAAATGGTATACCGAAGAATCCAAGTCTGTCCGTTTGACATACAATTTTTCATTGATTTCAGAATGGTATGTGTATGGGGTTTTTCAAATGGTTCAATCTAGATAGCACATTTAATTTCGCCCGATTTCATCTCAATGGTCCTCCAAAGATTCTATGTCCGTTCTATCTACAGGATTTTGTAGAAATTAGCATGTCTTGCATGTACCCAAAGTGGTGGTCGGCCCCGTCCGACTTTTGAACTTTCCTTACTGGTCTTTTTTTATTTTTTTTTATTACTGATATACCCATGATAGAGTGTATATGCTTACAATATATCATTCTCCAAAGTGTATTTCAGCCTGTGATCCTTTTTGATTGAGAACTAAATCCTAGTTAATATTTCTTACACAAAATAAATATTTATTGTTTACAAAAAATAAATGTCGCAATAAAATTAAATTTAAAGTCTTTGTTTATTACCCTTTTTCCTCCACACTGATATTGAAATCAATTTTTTTTTTTTAAATTCAACGAAGAGTCACTGACTCATAATTGTTTACAAAATGTTATCATTTCCATATTTGTATGCAAATATTTTGGCTTTTGTTGTTTTGAAAGAGAATATTTAATACAGTTGCTTAAACTATGATAAATTATTTGAAAGGAGTATTAATACTAAAGTCCACATATTTGGAAAATGATATACACCTTTTAAAATAAGTTTTACAATTCATTTTAAATTAGTTATCAAAAAAAGCGAAAAAATCTTAGTCTCAGAAAAAAATATTAATTCATAGCTCTGGCTCCTTAAAATTTGTATGTAAGTCCCTAGGTATTGTATATTGGATAGAATTATATTCATGTATTTTTTTAATTGGTCGAGGCACCATCAGACAAATAATATCTTCGCTTCAATATTTATTTTCAAACCCCTAACTATTTTTATCAGAATAGTAAGAACGAGAAAGAAAAATAAAAACACTTCGAATGTGATCGGTAATGTTTGGTGGTGTCGCCACATTCATCATTGTAAATAGTGTGTTAAGTATTCATATCTGTCGCAATACTTAGTTTGAAAATGGGGCCACACACACAACCCATAGCCAGCAACAACAAACGATCTAAGCAAACATTCTCTCGTTTTTTTTTCAGTGATAAGATACAAAATGAAAGCGTAACTCAGAACTTAGCAATCTTGTCCATGAAGATGTTGACTGACGGAATGAACAAACAATGAGCGCAACATTTGTTTGCTTTTTGTTTTTATTTTTTCTGATGGAGATACAGTGCAGTGCAATCACGTCAATTGTTTTCAAAACTTCAATGACATTTTT